GGAAAAGTCGTCAGCAGGTGGAAAACCTTAACACCAATCTGATAAATCAATTAGCAGGTGCCAAGTTCTCTGCGGAGCATTTCATGAAAAAATATGAGGAAGAGAAAAAGAGCAGAAAACTCATGCAAGAAATTTCTAATGGACTAGCTGAACAAATTGGAGAAGACAAGGCTGAAGTTGAGGCATTGAAGAGAGAATCAAAGAAAATTGTTGCAGAAGTGGAAGAAGAGAGGAAGATGTTGCAGATAGCAGAGGTTTGGCGTGAAGAACGGGTCCAGATGAAGCTGATCGATGCAAAACTAACTCTTGAAGATAAATATTGTCAGTTGAACAAGCTGATAAAAGATGTTGAAACTTTCTTAAGGTCAAGTTTTGGCACTCTGGATATGACGGAGTTAAGAAAAGCTGAGTTGATCCTGCAGGCAGTTAAGTCATTGAATATCCATGGTATTGAAGAATTTTCTAATGTTCCTCCAAAATCAAATGATATATTCTCTGTTTTTGAAGAGCTCTGGCGATGTGAAGGTAGTGAGAGGGAGATTGAACCCTGCATTTGTCACACTCCTTCTAGCCATGAGGATAATGGGTTCAACCAAACTCATTTGTCAAAGCAGTTGAATTGCCATAATGATTATAATAGTTGTTTACAGAAAGATGCCAGAGGTTCTTGTGATTCATTGGAAGGGGATAATCCCGCAATTGACAGGGTTGGCCAGGGAAAAACTGTTTCAAGGAGCTTTAGTGATGGTAATGATAATGCAGTCCAATGTTCTCCAGATAGGGAAATCAGTGAGGTATGCGCAGCATCAGAGAAGCAATCAAAGCGCAAGACATCTTCTGCATCTAAGCTTTGGGGATCATGTCCAAGCAATGGTGAGTTTTATAAGATAGGCTTTGATGAGGGTGAAGGGAGGCTTTCAAATGGGATAACATCACGTTGGGGAGAAAATTCAAATAAAGGGTTGTTTGAACATGATACTACACACAGGTATTCAGCTGGACAGAGGATCCCAACAGACACAGTGAATCCACACATAACTCGAGGGATGAAAGGGTCCATCGAATGGCCTCGAGCCATTCAAAAGAATGGTTCGAAGGTCAAGCTTTGGGATGCAAAAATAGAAAGCCAGAAATCACAGTGGCGTCATGTTCTTAAACAGAAGGCTAGGTGAATTAGGAGCTTATACATTAGAAGTAGACACTTGTTTTCTTTTCTTAGTTTTTGGTTGCTATACTTCACTGTATTGTATGTTTATTTGGACACAAATGAGAAAGAACAATTCATTTAAGCTCTCTCTCTCTCATATTTCTTTACTGGTATTGATTATTGCATGTTGTGCAGCTGTATAACATGGCATTATGAGTAAGCATGTTATAGGCTATAGTCATTTATTTCCAGCTAGACAGCCAATCATTGTGTGTGCGCTTTTTCAATACAGGTGGGAGGGGCAGTTGAGAGTGTTTTTGACCCACTCTTTGGGTCATTCTTCCCATCCCAAGAAAGAAGAATTAGGAATTTGTGGGATTCCCTTTTGTTCCATAAGCTGATAAAAATGCGAGTGTTGTGTGTTCCCCTGTTTGCTTCTTGCTGAGGACCTGGTGGTGGATCCCATGTCTGTAGAATGTAACAAAGTTGTCTCCAAATAATTCATGCAATTTGCAAAGCTATCAACTTTGCTCGCAAAAGTAGACTATTATAAGGTCCTCTAAGACCAACATAGCTTTTTACATAAATGCGTGCAATTGTATTTGTACACAGTTGAGTATAATTTGATTTTGTAACACCAAATACAAAGCAAGCAGCAGTATGAAGTTTTCTCGGAAATAATAACGTAAATTCGATAATAAAGCTGAAAAGAAAACCCAACAAAGAACATTAACTAATAGTTTACATCAGGTAATTTGCTGCAGATATCGTTTATATTCAGTTAGGGTTAGGGGAGGATTAAACTTTAACAAAATCTAAAAAGACCACCACCAAAAAAAAAAAAAAAAACGAAATCCTTCCCGCCTCTTCCCCTCCAAATCAAATCACCACACCGCTTTAAAAAAAGGCACGAGGCCCAACATCAGAAGGCCTATGGGCCCAAATTTACTGGTGATTAATTGAATGATCTGCCCTGGGTCCAGTGAGTAATACAACTTTCATGACTTTGGATGCAGAACCTCATTTGTTAGACATTTACTGGGTTGTCAAATCATTACTGAAAAAGACCTGGCACCAATAATGTAATCCCCAATTTCTCCAAGTCAAAGCACGGTTTAGATGCTTATCTTATCGTCTTGGCTGGGTAGGCATAAGTGTTTAGAAGACCATACTCATGATCCAATTTATCATTTCAAGTCTGATGATGATTTGGGGAAAAAAAAAAAACAGAGAAGAAATTAAGACAACCCTTAAAAGGACAATCATCATCAGTTAACTTGATGGAATTAGACGACGAATCGACCAAACACAACTTCACTTGGTGCTTAAGATTAAGAAAACAAAATGCACAAGTAGGTTTCCGCAAACACATGCATCAAAAAAGAAAGCCAGATGCTCATGAATGAATGGTTTTGAAGTAGTCACCAAATTAAGAGACGCAAGCATGGCAAATACATAATTAGCCTACCAATAAAAAACAGAAAGATTAAGATTTAAGATGATATTTTGATGGTTGATCATGCTTTGAGTTTTGGCCGAACAAGAGCTCTTCTAGTCCTAGAGTTAATGATTGTACAAACAAAATTCCCACCTGACCTGATGAAGAAATGGGGGTTGCCGCCAATGCCACAGCCACAGACTTAGGCAACATGTCATGCAAGTGGGACGACCATTTTTGGCTAATAACCTCAACTCTGCCTACACTCTCTCTACTGTCGTTACAAAACTAGCAAACTTTGTACCACTTGATGGACACTACTCTAAGAATGAAAATGACCTCACACCAATCTCCACTTTCACATGTTTTTATATACGCACGCACATGTTTTTATATATGCACGCTCAACCCACAATATCATCTCATGATTCGAACCGTTCATTTTTAGCTGGCTCTGTATAAGTTTTGATGACCATGTTATATAGTTTTGAAACCCCATTTAAAGGCTGTTATGATTTCTGAATCTGATGAAACAAAGGTTTAGATATTGCATCAAGGTGATTGAAATCATTTTTGTTGAGGGGACCCCTTTCAGGTTTTGAATTAAAAAAAGGCTAAGATTCTTCCTAATTATTTTCAATCAGTGATTAGAATGGGGAAACTATTATTGACAGAAAAAAAAAATACTAAACGGAATCTGCAACTGCAACCAAAGAGAAAAAAAATACACTAATAGGTGGTTTGGTAATAAACTAATGTGATTTGGTCGTAGATTGATTGATTATTTTTATCAAGGTTGCTATATTGGTGGTCGGCTCTTTCATGGGGGAAGTGGCATGGCATTGGCATCAATCTGGTTGTTGAGATTGTGGTGATAATAGCATGAAAATGGGGAAAAAAAAATAGAGAGTAAATTTATATATCAAACAGATTAATTGCATCATTTCAAGTTCAATAATTCCTCTTACTGTGGGAAAAAAAAAAATCCTCAAGGGGATTAGATTTAGACTGGCACATGACAGAGAAGCCATGGCCGACCCAACATGATTGTAACAACTCAAACCAGAGAAAACGATCGGTCCTTTCTAATCGTTGATGCATAAGGATAGAGAAAAAAGGGCCTGCCACCTGAGCTGAGCTTGCTGCTGCGAACCAAACAATAATGTTAATTGATTTTTTTTTTCTTTTTTAGTGGTGAGCTCCTTCTTGAAAAAGGGTTGATTGTGACCTCTATTTGCCTCCCTCCCTCCATCTCCATCTGGTTGAAAAAGTTGTGACACAGATATTTGATATTCAATCTTCCATACCAAACTTGGCCTCGATAATTTTGCAAAATAATGATCTTCTTACCCTAATTAATTTTTTTAGATATTTAATTATATACACATTCGTAGTACTAGTGATATAAATTAATCATACACCATTTAATTTCTATAAACAAACCAAAAAAAACCAAAAAATCAAAAAATGATGGCCCTGTTGAATTTAATTTTGATTATTAGATTACTTTGATGCTTTGTTAAGTGTGTAGGTTTTTTTAATTTATATATGAGATTTTGGAGTTGGGCTTATTTTAAGAAATCGATAACAGTGTTGTAATTTATAGGAAATTTGAAGCCTCTTTGCTATTTTGTAAATGAATTTTTGGTGTATTTTCAAAGTCCATTTCATATAGATTTTTTTTCTATAAAAAAAATATATTTTGAATCCCTCTAAAATTTTACAACCCAGTTGAAAATGTCATCAAATGCTTGCTTATTGTAAAAATAATTCATGCTAGGATGTTGCTGCAAACATTGCAGACCTATAGGACCTATATAGTTGGGTTTTTGGTAATTCATTCAACTTGTTACTCAAACTGGAGCGCCAAGTTGCAGAACGTCACAAAGATTGAATGGATGCTAGTCAACAAAACCAAACAGGACAAGATAAAGCAAAAAATTTGTATAAAAGGGTCACACAAATTGCGCTCTTCTTAGCTTTACAGCTCCTCATGTGCAGTGCAGATGATGAAAATCCTGCAACAAAACAGAAAGGGACTATCAAATTTGGTGTCTTCAGAAAAGAATCAAATCAAGAAAAGGGTAAATTAAAATTAAAATTTGATAATTTTAATTAGAGTCTCCACAGACAGGAGAAAGACTTTCATGCAACATAGATAACACTTTTTGTTATCCTCGCCCAATAATGCAATGATTCGTAAGATAATTTTTTCACATATCATTGTGCTATTAATTAGATATTGTAAAACAGTGTTATCCCCGTTATAAGTGAATTTTTCTGCACAGACAGAGGTGTTTGCTGCAACTACAAAATATTACATAGTATCTGGTGCAAGAAGAACATGTACCTACAACACAAAGCCACTGCTACCCGACAAAACCTCCAACAAAACTCTCTGATAATACTTCTCCTTTTATATATATAATTTTATGTTAGTACAATATACAAGAATCTCATGTTAAAATAAAGGGGTGACTTTCTTGACATATTCGTAATAAAATAATATCCCATGATTCACCCTAGAACAATCATTCATTCCACAGCCTTGTGATTCTCTGGATCCATACATTTTAATCCCAAATTGAATTTTATAAAGTACCCGTCTTGCCACCATCAAATCATATGCTAAACACTGAGCTTAGCAGAAGGTTTTTAAATTTTATTTTATTTTATTTCTGTAATTAAGTAGCAGGTAGGATTCTTTCTCTATAGAATTGACACACACACATTATCAATGCACTAATTTGCATGGAACTTGTAGCTCAAATAATCATAAACATTTATTCTTACATTCGAAGTTCTAGATTCGAGTCTCCAATCTCTAATGCCGCTTGTATCCAGAAAAATAATTGCTTTTCGCAATCAATCGAAGATGGTTCATTGTTAAAAATTTGTTGCAACGCATGACGTAATATGGAGCTTGATATAATAATTATTTTTATAAAAAAAACAGTGGTGATGGGAGTGGGGTCCATGCAAGTACTTGTAAAATATTCCACTTTTATTGCCGTCTTTGATTTTGCAGATACAGAGCATAGTACTCCAGCGGCACATGCACACAATCACCGAGCCACACTTCAAAATTACTCGGGGCATCAACTAGTGATTCATTATTAACCGTTGGATCATTTTCTAGTTTTGATCTGGTGGAGCTGACATACATAACAAGCGATAGCATAGGATACTTTGATTGCAATATTGATTGGTCCATCACAAGACACAGTTAGTTAGTTGGGTCAGGGTGCACCTCTAGACTGTGAACCCATCATCCATGGGCCCGTGGCTAGCGGGTCCCAGCCAATGTTTGGTCATTGAAAGCCCAGGTCCCCCAACAGAATCCCACACAATGAGGCCAGTACAAGGGTGAGGGGTCCTCAATGGTACCTCACGAAAGGAAGGGGGTCCTCTCTTGAGAGAAACGTGAAATATCAACCCTATCTTTTTATTATCCTCCAAGGTTCTTAGAATCCCAACTGGATAACAACTGCAACTTGCAGTTATGGTGGATGGTGTTAGCATGAGATGAGTCAATATACAAAGTTAATTGTGTAATCTACGTCAGTCAACAATTGTCAACTATGCATCTATCATGTAGCATACGTCAATCAACGTGCTTGATCGTCCATCTATTGTAGAATTTAAGCCGATCAACAATTGCAACTGTGCATTCATTATATAACATAC